TTTGTTTCCTCATAGTTCAGGAAACTAGAAGTCTAAAATTGAGGTGTCAGTAGAGTTGGTTTCTCCCAAAGGCCTCTCCTCTTGGCTTGCAGACATCATCTCCTCCCTGTCTTAATATGATCTTTCTTTTCTGTGTGCCAGTTTTCTAATCTCCTTTTCTTTTAAGAACATCAGTCATATTGGGTAGGGTCTCCTCTGAGGGTTTAGGTTTAACTTTATAAGCTCTTTAAAGACTTTATCTTCAAATACATTTACATTCTGGGGAACTAGGGATTAGGATTGTGACATAGAATTTGGTAAGAACACAATCCAGCCTTTACCAGTTCCCAACTCACAATCATTATTTACTCTCTCCAGTCAGGATCTGCTTTGTCCCTCTCTAGTTATTTCCCCCCCCTCACAGTGGCCAGTAAGTTTATTGCACATGAGACTCAGAATAGGCATAATATGATGATGCTTATAGATCATATGATGATCTATAGGCATCATTGCCAGAACGGTCACCAAAGTATACAGGTCTCCATCTCTCATACCATATTGAAGAGACGTGCTGGAGCTGAACAAGACTGAACACATTGACTTCCCATCTTATGGAGCAAGTACGAGAGCAGCCTTACACCAGGGAAATAAACATTATGGTTTATACATCAAGCAGTTTGAATTTACTTGCCAGATATTTAGAGGACGTCTAGGAAATATCAGAAGTATAGCAACTAGAAAACATGCAGGTCGTTTGTCCAAGGGGAGAGCCCTTTTCTAATGATGCCAAGGGTATCTGTTAGACAATCTATGCTTTACAATATGTAACCTGTCAGAAATGCAAATCTAATTCTATTCTGCTGCCCAACACATGCAGAAATTTCATATTGCTTATAAACCCAAACTCCTAACCATGACTTTCATTCTCTGCATACAGTGGCCCCTGTTCACCTCTCTCATTCTTCTTGAATTTCTTTCCTCTTGTTCATTATGGACTAGGCTCACTAGGCTCTTCATTTAATTGAAAATCCTGTATTCTTCCATGCTTCAATGCCCTCACACAGTATTCCAAGGCCTGGAATGCACTGCCGGTTCTCTTAACATTGCTAATTTCTTCTTATACTTCTGAGTTTGGTTTAAATGACACTTCCTCCAAGACTCCTCCATGGATCCTCAGTGTAAATAAAGAAAGAGAAATCAAACTAGCCCATTCATTTTTAAACACCTATTCATTAGAGTTATATCATTATTTTACTAGTTATGATTACATACACACATACAGATCTATCATGTTACATGATTTTCTCCCAAATATTTGACTTTCACAGTGCCCCCAGTATATAATAGAACACCTGGCTAATGTGATAAGAAATAAATATGATGGGATTTTGTGCTATTTAATGTTTATGGAATCCTTTTTTTAAAAAAACTTAAAGATATCATGCAGATATCAGCTGTTATTATTCCCATTATTCATCTGAGCTATATTTGCTCAGAACTATTTCCAAAATAGGAGAATTTTCAGGAAAAGATGAAAACAGAAAGGCAAGCCTAGATTAATATGATTTCTTGCTGATTCCACCCAGGTGTTTCCTGGGGCTAGTGAAAGGAGGTTGTGTGTCACCTGGAAGTTCAGAAACTGAGGTCTACAGCTTCTCAAAATCCAGCTTGAGCCAGAGGCCACACACTGCCAGCACTCACCAGAAAATAACAGCCAGAGGGAATCTGTAGCTTTAGCAAGGGAAACTCACAGTGACTAAGATGGATATGACAGTACGTGTCAGTGGATGACACTGGGGATCTCTAAATAAAATTTATCTCTAAGGTARCAGAGATACTCAGTGACAAAACAGAACTTTCTAAGTTATCCTTATTTTTATAGCCAAGCAAATTTCTCATTTCATAAATTTCTGTTTACACCCCTTCCCCAAGACAGTTATCTCGAAAATTAAACTTCTGGAGAGTCCAGAGCCATTCACTGTAGGCATGAAGCTCACTGCTTGACATTCCCTCCTGTGTATTCAAGGTCCGTGACCCCACGCAGGCCCCCTATTGTAACAGTTCACCCATAACTGTCTCTTGAGCCACCAGGGCACATCTCTAGTATTGTGGAATGATAACAAAAGTGGAGGCTGAAATCAATAACTTCCTCTGAACTCYCCAACCTCCTTTCTCTTTAGCAGATGTTCAGTTTTAGCAAAAGCATGATCTCTTTTGCACTGTGATGTGTTTTCAACCAGGACCAGCTTATYCCATTCTTGACAGCTTCTCTCACAGATCTGGAGGATTCTGGAGGAGGAGGGCAGAGGTGGGAAGGAGAGAGAGGGGAGAGGAAGAAGAAGAGAGAAAAGGGAAGATAGGAAAAGAAGGCAAAGGAAAAGGGATGGGTAGAGAGGAAAGAAGWAGAAAAATAAGGGAGGGAGGGAGGAAAAACAAGGAAGGAAGAGGGAAGGGAGGGAGGGAAAGAAGGAAGGACCAGTTAAACCCTTACCAGGAACTAAGGGATATCTTGTTGGAGAAATAAATGCCTCAAGGAAACTTTAAACCAGTTTACCTTTTAAAATGTGGTTAAATGCTCCAATATTTGGAACTGGAATATGCTTCCATAGGGAACTGGGAACAAATCTCCACCTCCCCATTTGTGTAGATACCTGTTTCTTGAGGAGATGTCTTTAGGTAGCTAAGCACCCTCCACCCCCAATGGACCTTACAGCCCCAGATGCCTGCATCTCTCTGGTCAGACTAGACAGGAACACAAGGTAAGTGCAAGTTACTGATTGGGCTGGCCAAATCTTCTCTTCTGGAATTGAGATTGATATCAGCCTGCATCTGGCAGTACCTGAATGGAGAGAACCAGCTCTGAGTCCTGGAGTAGCCATGACATCTGCACCAAAAAGCAGGTGTATTGGTATTCGGAGAAGGTCAAAGTGTTCCAAAAGGATAACATATCAGAAACCCAAGAGGGAAACAGAAGCAGACCCAGCAAAAGACATTAGACTGAATGCTCTTCCACAAGACAGCCTTCTACCTTCACTATGTATTCCGTTGCTCAAACTAGGGTTCATATTTCTTCCTCTTCTCAGTGAAATCATTCCCTACTACATTTTAAAATGATAGCCATTCCATAGGATGTGCTCATCAGTTCTGCCACAAATGCGTCTTCCTGGAAATCTTAGCACCCAGTTTAGGTAAATGCCCTCTTGGCATGGTTTTCAACCAGACTATAAGCAGGTCGAAAGTAGCCAGTAAGCTATTTCATGCTCAGACCCAGACCCAGGAGACACCTTCAGCAGGAGTAGTCTTGTAATACTTCATCGGCACACTATATGCAAAATTTAGTGTGAACATGTATTTTTGTGGATGAGGTCCCGTACTTTCCATCAGGTTCTTTAATAACTATCTCTAACAATGACTATAAACTTAGCACACCTCAAATGTTATTCTAAGAACTATGTCAATTAATTTATTTAAATTTCACAATAATCCTATGGGTAAGTGTTACTATTATTCTTATCTTAGAAGGAAACTGAAGCACCAAGGAACTATTAATTCGCCAAAAGCACAAACAAACTCAATAGCATTTAATCCAGAACAGGAACCCCACAAAGTGACACTTCAATCCAGGCTACACTTTGAATGATGCAGGAGATGAAACAATTGTTTCCTCTGTTAAGCAAACACCAATGCAAAAACAACCACCATTATTAAGGTGTACACAGGGTTAAATGGTATCAAGCTATGGACCCAAAAGGTATCTGGCAGACTATCATGTCTTTTTTTTTTTTTAATCACATTTTATTTTGCTTTTACAATATTCTTCCCTGGTAAAAATCTACAGTTGCATTTGTGGTCGTAAATCAACTATACAATTGAGGTTTAAAAAATAGGTGTTGGACCTTACCAAATCCATCAGCAACTAAGCCTCAAGGTATACTTTTGAATCATTTGTCTGAGTAATTCTAACAAAAACAACAAAACCCAAACAGATTGCAGTGAAGTTAATATAGAGTTCAAAGTGGGCATATTGATGTAGCTTGGAGCCAACCAAAACAAAAAAACTAATCAAATGGAATGAAATGGAATAAAAGCACAAAAACTGAAGCTCCAATTAAAGGCAAACATTTCAGGATTCTGCTGTGTGTCTACTCTAACTTTTCTATTTCATTGTATTATCAACAGACTTTTGGAACCCCCTGTGCTTTTCCTTTCACTCCCTGATTTCAACTTGGTCCTTCTACTTAAAGATAAAGTTTAGTGTTCCCAGATTTGGCTCTTGGTGTTCCTTACATGTAGTTTTTACAACCCTTTGGATTGCCCAGTCTGTGGTTATTTCCAGTAACTCTTCCATCTGATTTAACTCCCTGGTGTCCCATAAATCCCCAGGGGTCACTTCCCCCACCCATGTGGCCTAATCAAGCTACTGTGAAGCCACATTCTAGCCCTAGGTTCATGACTTACCCACAAAAGAGAATTAATAAAGCCCCTTAAAATACTCCAGGCCTCAGGTACTGGGGGTTAAGTGAACAGTTTATTAGATACAGTAAGATCATGACATTCTCAAAACTGGTATTTGGATTTTGTATCTCAATCAGGGAGTAACTGTGTTCCCACTAATTGCCCATGGTTCACTTCTGGACACTGTGGGGCTTTTCTAGGACATGTGTGTAGTCTAAAAATCATAAAACATTTCACCCCTAAATCACTATGACTTTCTTTTACCTTGTCTCTTAAGCTCTTTTTTATACAGAATGCATCTTGAAAACATGGGGTTTACTGTTCCATGCCCCCTCTGCTTTAAATATAGCTCAAGGCATCTTGCCAGCTGGTGTTGGAAGAGGTATTCCACCACCAGGGATCGTTTTGCATCGTCAACTCTGAGAAGGAAAATTTGAAACTGGAGGAGCCACTTAGAAAAGCAGATCTAATTGGGGAACCTGAAATGTGGCCAGGTCAACTGGCTTCACATGCTATTCCCAAGGCTCAAGAACGCTGGCTTCATTCTCATCCAACTGGCACTAGCTTATAGAAGACAGGCCACTTACCAGCAAATAGAGGAACAGATTTATTCTTCCTGCCTCCTAACAGAAACAGCCGCACCTGAACAAACTTGCAAGGTTAGGTTCGCATGCAGTTTATGGAAAACTTTCCTGACTCCCACTCATAACAAAGACTAAAGACAAATCTAACCCATGGTTTCTGGCTTAGGCCCGCTGCTGGGCCTACATAACTAACCTCATGGTTCTGCTGCCCCAGCAAGGCCCACTTCGGGACAGGAAGGAGAACGTCACACATATCTCTCATGGCATCTATGTTAGTTCCTTTTGCACCTGGGATCTCCTTGGGGGCCTCTTAATCGAAGTCTGACTGAGTCTGACCTTGCCTTGGTTTATGAGGGTAATGAAATCACAGCCCCAGGTGGGACAGCTGCAGGTGCACTTGCTGGGCCACTCAGAGCCTTGTTATTTCTGTAATTTGTCACATGCTGTCTCCTGCTTGGGGTTATACTTTACAACCTAATGAATGCGTTCTTTTATTAAGACAAATCTTGTCCATGCCAATCCAATTAAATCTATAAAATTAGCCTGCAAAGTTGAGGGCAGTGGGCTGCAATGTAGCTGTTATTCTCTTTATTTTTCTCTATTATAAGTTGTTGGATAAGGACTGATGATGATTTGGGAAGCAAAGAAGTTGATGGGAAGGGCCTTAGCTGTGGGTCTGAAGACCTAGGTTTTATTCTAACTTTGTCATGGGATACTGAGTGATTTTTCTCTCCTCCATGGGTATTGGTCCCTTAACAATATAAATAATGGTTTGAAAACATTAGTGTAGATAATACCTTTTTATTTGTTGAGTTACCTTACTGCATGCCAGATGTATTCATGAAAACTCTGCAAGGTGAATGCAATTTTGTCTATTATATAAATACAGTCATTAGGCCTTAGAGAAGACAAACAATTCACCCAAGGCCAATCAGTGAAGGTGATAAAGCCCCCAAATCACACATACATATCCAGAACTTTGAACCCACACAGACTATGAATCTTGACATACAAATCTGGAAGTAGCTGAAATTAGCATCATGTCACAAAGCCGAGTTCCATACATAGCACAGTCAGTAACTAGAGAGTCAGAAAAACTAGACTAGTTTTTCATCTCATCTCGTTGCCACACTGCTGCAACTAATCTTCCCTTTTCCCCAGTGCTCAGAGACTTCAGGTTAATATGGCAGTTGTACTTTAAACTCTTCCAAAACATAGGCGTGAGAAAAACTACAGTAGAGATAATTTTGTTACACTTTTATCTGAAATAGAAGAGAAAATTAATTTGTGTCTCTGGACACAGTACATAAATTCTGGTTCCATAAATGAACTTCACCCTATTGTTAATGATATTTTCTAAGGTCTAGGTCTCACCAGTGTTTATGAAGCAATTTTTTCAATGAAAATTGTGATTAAAAAATAAATTGAGAATCAGTACAGAAGGACTTGGTCTATATTCTCTATGAAAAGTACATTTTCCAAGTGGGTGCCTTATGGCAGATTAAAATTCAAAATCCTAGGCAATTATGAAAATCTTGCTAATATGACAAACAGTTCTTCCATTTTTAAAAGAAATTGGRAAAAAGAGGTGTTTTAGCAATTATTTGCTCAAGAATTGAGTTCAAACAATAAGTTTTCATTACTTGGAGAGAAAGGAAATAACCTCTTATTGGGTAGGACATTTGTCAGCTTATTCGAAAACAACAACAAAAACACATCACAGTTTCAACATTGCTATGGTGATACATAACACACACAGCAAAGTACACACACAAAAAGATTCAGATCAGTGATTTAAAACCCACTTCCCAGAGCAGAAAATAAATGGAATGTTGCCAACTGCACAGAATCCTGCCATATTATACCAAATACTAATAAGTACTCCCTCTCCACCCTTGAAAACAATAGCCATTAATTAATGTTACCCTTTTAAAGTAACATTTGTGCTTCTTTAAGGTTGGTGACACAAAGTATGATGTTTTCTTTTCTATAAGCATTATAAAAAATGGGTTCATAAAGTGTATATTCTTTTATACCTGACTTCTTTAGTAAAAAATATATTATGACATTTACACATGTCATATATCATGTATTTTATCCATTTTCATTACTGTCTATCATTACTTTGTATGTATATATGCTATTTGTAAAATATATCAAATTCACCATTCTATAATTCATAAACATTGGACTCATTTGAAATTGTTTTTTCCATAATAATGTTACAACAAACATTCTTGTCTATTTCTTTTGTGCTCCTGGATGCATATTTATATTCTGTATATAATGTAAGAGTAGCACTTCTGGGCTATAAAATTGCCCTACCTCAACTTTAATAGATACTACCAAAACACTTTTTCAAATGGTTGTAACAAGTCAACTCCTACCAGCAATACATAAGAATTCTCCTTGTTCCATTTCCTTTCCAATACATGGGGTTATCTGAATTTGCATGTTTATTATTTGGCATCCATGTAATGATATACTATTCTTTTAAAATGAATTTTTCTAATAATTAAAGAGGTTGGCATACTTTCACATATTTACTGGACATATGGATGATTACATTCTACCTGAATTATTATTTTGAGTGTACTTGGATAGAGATCACATTTAATCTCTTTCCATGTGGATATCTCACCACTCCTTCAGCATTTATTGAAAAGACAATGTATTCCCTATTGTTCTGAAGTGCCACATTTACCATGAGTTATTGGTCAATTTATATACAAGTCTGTTCCTGAGGATCACTTTTATTTAATGACATTGATTTAATTGTCTACACATCTATCTGTGTTAGTTTTCTGTTACTGTAACAAAATATCTAAAGTAATCAATTTAAAGAGAGATAAGGTTTAGTTTGGCTCACAATTTCAGAGRTTCAGTTTATGATGGAATGACTCTTTTGCTTTGGGTCCATGACAAGGCATTACATCATGGAGGGAGAACCTAATAGATTAAAGCTATTTAGCTCATGGTGACTAGAAAGTGACAGAGAGGAGGTAGCAACCAGAATCCCACAATCTTCTTCAAGGCACCCTGCCAATGATTTAACTTCCTCCCACTAGGCCCCCCTCTTACAAGTTCCACCAACTCTAAAGTCACAATTTGGAGATGAACCCTTCAATACAYGGGCCTTTGAGGGATGCAAATCCAAACAGTAGTACTGTCCTTGCACCTATAGCTCAATGTCTTACCACCTATAACAACCCTAGATATATGGCAGAGTAAGTCCTCCTGCTTGTTTTTCTTCTCTAAGTATACTCTGACTATTCTTGGCCCTTTGCAAGAATTGTCTTACCAAATGTCATTGAAAAATAAGGCCTGGTGAGAGTTTATGTGAGATTGCATTGCTCTTGTAGCAATGACCTCAGATCAATTTAGGGACTCTTAGAACCTGGAAACTTCTAGTTCACCATTTTGATTTATCACAAAATGTTTTTATAATTTTCTATGTAGAGATCTTGAATATCATATGTTGAATTTATCTCAAGATATTTCATTCATTGGTATACGTATATATATATATATATGTGGTCTTTGTCTTTCAAATTTTTAAATTTTCCCTTGTTATAATATGAAAATTGACTTTTGATTTAGTAAATTGCTAAGTTCAATATTAAATCTTATTAATTCTTCTTTCATCTACTTTTCCCAATAAGACATCAGAAATGTCTAGAAGCCAAGTATCTGGTGTTCTAAAAATGTCCTAAGTCAGGACTCAGCTCTCTGGGTTCTAGTCTTTCTCTAAGTCCTGGCCCTCACCTTCATGTCAACTCCTTTCAACAATTTATTTTTTTTTTTTAGAATATAATGCAGTTTCCTAGTTGCTCTCAATAAGATGGTTGAATTGAATGACCTAATCCTTCATTATTGAAATTAATCTCCAAGCTTTCTTATTTGGCACAAAATAATTCAGATGTAAATGTAGTAATATTCTTCCCATTAAACTACTCATAGTTAAATTTCCCCTTAGGTCTAAAAAGTTTATTAAAATGGAACTTGGAGAGGAAAATGAAGCACATAGTCAAAACATTATTTTCAAGTGAGTTTTTATAATAATTGCAATAGGTTAAAAAGAAAAAGCATTACATAAAGGAATAGTTTTTCCTATTTTGAGACACAGGTATTATTTTACTTAATAAAAATGTAAAACTATTACATAAATGAAAACAATAACCATTAATTAATGGGTGATAATTTGTCTAAATTAAAACTACTATTCATACATATGGGTATGTAGTATATATACCAGTAATTCAAAAGTTTTCTCTCTGTGTCTCTCTGTGTTTCTCCATATATATAATTTTTGGTATATTTCTTTACCAATTTAAGCATGGAATTCAATATAATTTATTTCTTAAAAATATTCATTTTTAATTCTTGTAGTTATGCCAAATGACATATTGTTATAATATTCACCATATAACAGACAAATAACATGCAAAACATAAACATTGAATTAGGAAGAATTTTATTTTGTTTATTTTCCATTCTGACTTTGATCATTTATTCATATGTTTGATATCAAAAGATTAACTCAAATTATGTAATTATTTCTGGGAATAACAGTAATTACATAAGTGAGAATCTACCAAGAAATTTTGTAGAAAATTAAATATTACTAGCTTGGATCTTGAAATCTCAAAATGTAGCTGTTCTCTCTAAGTAAAGCAAGTAAAATAAGTATTTTTTTACAAGATATTTTTAAAATGAGAAATTTTCAAAACTTGTTCCTTTGTAGTGCTATATTAACAGTACAACATGCCAAAGATCTAAAACTAATTTGTTAAAAGAGTTTTACTTTGATCATTATTGACAAATGGGAGTATAATAGGACATTAAGATCAAAGAAATGTTTTGTAAATTGCCTTATGTTAAAAGAGTTGAAGAAATAAATATAAATAAGCTCCATCTAGGAATAAAGAAAGAATAGGAAGGATCCCTAAAATTGGGGGAAAGTAGAGGTATACAAGGACTCAGAGTCCTCAGGGGTCTGAAGAATGGCGGCAGTGGAGATTGAAGAACAGACCTGGCACCAGAGGGAGTTTGGGGCAGATCAGGGGATCACTGAA